TGTGTGTGGGTATATGTCACTGTGTGTGTGGGGGGGTCACTGTGTGTGTGGGTATATGTCACTGTGTGTGTGGGGGTATATGTCACTGTGTGTGTGTGGGTATATGTCACTGTGTGTGGGGGTATATGTCACTGTGTGTGTGGGGGTATATGTCACTGTGTGTGTGGGGGTATATGTCACTGTGTGTGTGGGGGTATATGTCACTGTGTGTGGGGGTATATGTCACTGTGTGTGTGGGGGTCACTGTGTGTGGGGGTATATGTCACTGTGTGTGTGGGGGGGTCACTGTGTGTGGGTATATGTCACTGTGTGTGTGGGTATATGTCACTGTGTGTGTGTGGGGGGTCACAGTTTGTGCTTTGTTCCAGTCTTTAGTGCTGATTCCATAGTTTAATTGAGTGTCAGTGGTTTGTTGGTTTGTTGTCCTCTGTGTGAGGGCTCCGCCATTGCAGAGGCGCGAACCTCTAATAACAACAATAGCAATAATGCCAAAAGCTCTCTCTCTCTCTCTCTCTCTCTCTATATATATATATATATTTGGAAATGTTAAATAATATTTTTTTGTAAAGTGTTGAGTGAGTGTTTGTTTTTCCCCTAAAGTTCATTATTTACTTATTTATCTATTTTAATGACATTGTGAATGTAATGGGAAGAGGTGATGTTTGGGGTTCGGTTTCGCTTTAAATCTAAATTCATTCCAGAGAGAGAGAGAGAGAGAGACCATCACTTGGGGCTATAATTAGGGGTGGGGGGTGGGGGGGGGTCTGTGTCTCTCACCCCTGGCGGGAGACCCCCCCACCCAGGGGTCCCCCCCCCACCCCCAGGGGTCCCCCCCCACCCCCAGGGGTCCCCCCCGCACCCCCAGGGGTCCCCCCGCACCCCCAGGGGTCCCCCCCGCACCCCCAGGGTTCCCCCCACACCCCCAGGGGTCCCCCCTCCCGCCCGGACGCGCCATCTCCCGCGCTCTCTGTTTGAATCTCCCGCGTAAACCGCGCACTGAGTGGCGCCAAATTCAAACGTCCCACTTACTATAACCAACTCAGCACTAATACCCCCCTTCCCCCCCTCCCCCCCCCCAGGACCCCCCCCCACACATCTCATCACTTGCTCCACACGTCCTCCTACTGCTGTATTTGCTTTTATATTCATTTTTTTAAAAAAAAATCCTATTTTAATTTTTTTTAAAAAATATATCATTTTTCAATTCTTTTCTTTTTTTAAAAAAAAAATCCCTTTTATTTCAATTCAACGCTTTTTTTCAACAAAAAAAAGAGAAAACTCCTTTTTATTTCAATTCAATGGGATTTTTAAAGCAAAAATCCTTTTGGAGCTCAAACGCCTCTCGTCCACGTGTTTTGTAGTTTTTTGATTTATATATTCTTTTAAAATAAAAGATCTTATGGTAATTTTTTGTTAGACCAACTCGGTTTGTCCCAGGAGTGAAATGAGGGCTTTTAAATTGCTTTTTTTTAAAAAAAAGACTAATTTTATCACAGCGTATGTATCTGGGTGAACGGCTGGAGATTTAATCTTGGTTGTTGTGCAACTTTTTGGTGGGGCGGGAGAAAAGCCCGCCTAAAAATAAGGTCCTTTTGGCTGTATTAAATCTATATAATTTTGTGTTTTAATAAAAACTGTTTGAAGAGTTAGTTATTAATTAAAAATTAATGTTTTTGACTGATCTGAGCGCTTTGCGTTTCTGGGGGTAAAAATCTTTTTAAAACAATATTTGGTCATTTAATCCTCGACTGTTTGTGGGACACTGCTGTGTACAATTGGTTGCTGCATTTTGCCCACAAACTACAGTCAATTAACTTTACCATATATTGCGAAGGTCGTTGAGATATCTCAACGACATAAGACGCTATATCAAATGCAAGAATTATTATTATTATTATCTATGGTTTGAGGTTTGATTGAGTGTCAATGTTGATTGTTAATTGTGTTCTGTGACTTTTTATAGAGTGACCAATGGTGGGAAAACCACCCTGACAAATAGAATTAGCAAATCGCTACCAAACTGTTGTGTTGTACATCAGGATGACTTCTATAAGGTGAGAATAATCCTCTCTATAACCCTTTAAACTGTGATCTCGAATCATAAGTCATTCTGTGTCGCTTTGAGCCTGTTTGCATCTGACTGCAGTTATTTGAAAGCTTAAATTTTTGATTTAAAGCACATTTCTGTAATTTATTTCATTTTTTAAATGATGAACCGGATGAAATAGAATTGAATTATCTTGTGGAAGTGTTTTTTTTAAACTGGAGAATACATCCAGATCTTTAATGTGGCAAGCCCTCTATAATTGTAAGACTGATGCACTTAAATGCAAACTTGAGCTGTTTTGTGAATATCGTGACCTGCAGTTTTCCGATTGGTGACATTTGACTCTGGAATTTCTAACTGAGTGGCATTGAGTTGATACCTTGTGCTACAAATTGGCTTTCTGCCAGCAATCCGCTTGAAATCTACATCGCTCTCCATATATATCAAGTGGAAGCGCTCTCTGTATTGGTATCCTTTACTTTCCTTCCACAAGATTTCAGGTCTATGAAAACTGGTTCTATAAAAGTACTTAAATTGCAACCTTCAATCCCTCCCCCCCCCCCCCACCTTAATTGTAGACATAAATTTGTTGTGTAACTTGTTTGGGTTCTGATCAGTGCCACTGAAATAATCAATTATGAGTTTGCAGCCATGTTTTTATGATCAATATATTTCAGGCGCCAGATCAGATACACGTTGGGGAAGATGGATTTAGACAATGGGATGGTAAGAATGGCTGGTTATAGGCAGTGATCTTTCTGCTAAAAGTGTACTTCTGTTTTTTGAGCCCGGGCTCTGTCGTGTAACTGACTCTGTGGCTTGTCTTTCGCCCCCCAGTGATCACGGCCCTGGACATGGAGGCTATGACCAGTACGGTCAATGCCTGGATCGACAACCCCGTGAAGTTCGCCCGATCCCACGGCATCAATATCAGCCCTGCTTCCGAGGAGCCCAGCGATCAGGAGGAAGGGGTGCAAATATTGATCGTGGAGGGTTTCCTATTGTATAACTACAGGTGCATTTGATAAATGTGGGCATTCGTGAAAAGACCTCCCGCTCAGTTGCCTGATCCTCTGTCGCCCATTTCAGCGCCTTGGGACGTCCTCCAGACATGAAAGGCACTTTACAAGTGTAATCTTGTTGTTCTTATCTACCCACACAGCCCTCCCCACACACACACCCCCACACCCCCCCACACACACCCACACACACACACCCACACACACACCCCCACACCCCCCCCACACACACACACACACCCCCCACACACACACACACCCACACCCCCACACCCACACACACCCACACACACCCACACCCCCCCCCCACACACACACCCACACACACACCCCTCCCCACACACAGCCCTCCACACACACCGCCCCCACACACACAGCCCCCACACACACTCAGCCCCCCCCCACACACACTCAGCCCCCACCCACACACATAGCCCCCCCCACACACACGCCCCCCCCACACACAGCCCCCCCCACACACATCCCCCCCCACACACAGCCCCCCCACACTCAGCCCCCCCCCCACACACACTCAGTGGTATTTTTCCCCCTAAGTTTGTTCCCTGATCTGCCTGACATTTGTGTAGACAGCGAAGGGGGGTCACAGTGAAGGGCGAGTAAACACAGCTGAGCTCTGGCTGAAGAGGAGTGTGTATTTGGGGGGGGGGGGTGTTATTTGGGGGTCCGGCCCATGTGGGATCTCCCCCCGGCCTACTGAGCATTCTCCAGTTTCAGCAGCTCAGCGCGTAATTAGCTTTGAATTTTTTTTAAATTTGAGCTCTCTCTCTCTCTCCTCACCCCCCCCCCCAAAGTCTGCAAAATACACAGTCACTACGTACTTTACAGTGAATCCCGTGAAGCGCTTTGACGGACCCTCCAGGCGTCAAATGCAAATACAACAAAGCAACACAGAATGACATTTGTATTGCACCTTTCGCATTGGGAGGACCACCCGAGGCACTGGACAGACAGAGCTTCGGACCAATTATTACCATTATTATTTACACCCACAGAAAGGGGATGAGCTGACAGAAGCCGAGGTTTGGGGAACGCTAACAGTTACACTCTCGGAACGCTGCTCAAATCGATCCTTTCGACGCTACTGCGGCCTCTCAATCTGATGCAAGAGTTTGTCCAGTGGGACCACCCTCTCTGCCGAGGCATTAGTTTCATGGTTATCAGTAGACAGGTGTAATCTTACACACAGACTGAGCTTTTGCGTATTCTGTTCAGTCACCGGATGTCTGATGCCTGTGGAAACATATCACGGTGCTTTCCAGAATGGAGTCAACTTTCAGCATAGGAATGCCACCCATGGAATTCTCCTGTGTCTGCACAGCAATGCCTACCCGCTCCCTGGAGGGATGAGCAGTGCTTATCTAAGTCGGAAGAGTACCACCGACAACGACGACTTGCACTTACATAGGGCAGTGTCTCAGAGTGGAGGAGCCTGACGCCAAGCCGCCGGGGGGGAGGGAGGAGGTGACCATAAGCACAGGCGAAGAGTAAGGTCTTCAGTCGTGAGCTAAAAGAGGGGAAGGAGGGGGGTGAGGTGGAGTGATTGAGGGAGAGAGTTTGAGGAGAGAGTAAAGGCACAGGTTGGCCAGTGCCAAGGCTTGAGGACCACAGGGTGTGCGTTGGATAACTGCTGGAGTTTAATTTCTACAACGGCATAGATTGTCAGTGAGAGCACTGCCTGGCAAGCTTCCCGCTGCGTGTCCAGCTGGGGCTAGAATCGCAGGGTTAGCAGAAGATGAGTGGGAAAAATCCCTGCTCCCAACCACAGATTAAATTGCAAATTTAATTAAATGCTTAAACTGCTCATGAATTTCACGAATGTTTCCTGGGATGTCGCTATGAACAGATTGACCGCCTACAAACACACAGTCACTACACTTGACGGTAAAATCCTGTGAAGTGCTTTGAGACGTTTCGACGACATGATAAGTATCTGTATCAAATGGAAGGATTATTAGAACTAACTTGCTGCCCCCGCTGCAGCCTCGCTTGCAACCAATTTCATTTAATCGGCCTTCTCGCTTTCGCCTGCATTTTTATTTGTCCTTGAAAGGCTTGATCTTCGCATCTTTATCCCTTAAGACTAAGAAAATGTGCTGTTGAACTCATTAGAATCCTTCATATCCTTGGGAGGACTCAGTGGGAAACCTCAGTGGGAGGATTACTGTTGGTGTTTCTACATCAGTCGATTAGACAGACACACAGATAAACTTTTCGTATAGAAATATTGCTCTAGAAAAATGTGTGACCTCTGTCACCACTTTGTTGCAGAATACGCATATCCTTTTGGAGCTTAATTAAAGCATTTTTTTATATCTTTATCAATGATAGGAGATCTCCCCCCCAAAAAAAAATATATCCATGACACTCCCCAATCAAGACCTTTCCGATGAAGTATAAATCATGTCTCTACGTCAATCGGTTATGGGGTTCTTGGCAAATAGACAGACGCATATTTCAGCTTTATTAGTAAAGATGACACTTGTGGCAGTGGTCACATTGTGACCAGGGAACCTACAAACTCGGTTGCCCACTCCACCTCACCAAGCCAGACAGGAACCTGGGCGTCTTGTTCGACCCTCAAGTGTCCTTTCTTCCCCATATCCGTGCCATGACCCACTCTGCCTTCCCCCACAACAACAAGAACAAGATTCCATTTATAAAGCGCCTTTCACGTCAGGAGGACGTCCCAAGGCGCTGCACAGTTGGGTCAGGACCCGAGCAGGGGGGAAATGGTCAGGGTGAGGGGAGGGAAGGGAGGGAGCGAGGAGGGGGAAGAGAGTCGAGAGGGGAGCTGAAGGCTCGGTCAAAGAGAAAGGTTTTGAGACCGGCCTTGAAGGAGGAGATGGAGGAAGCAAGGCGAAGGCACTGGGGGATGGAGTTCCAGAGCCTGGGGGCTGAGAGACTGAAGGCCCGACCACCGATGGTAGAGCGATTGGGGCCGTAGTCTGGCGATGTTCCGCAACATTGCCCGACTCCACCACTGCCTCATCCCTCAGGCCACCGAAATGCTCCCTCCTTGTCGGCCTCCCCAGCTCTTCCTTCCACAAGTTGCAGATCATCCAGAACTCTGCAGCTCATGTCCTCTCCCGCACCAGGCTCCGTGACCCCATAGCCCAACCCTCACCCAATTCCAATGGCTCCCCATTCCTCAGAGGATAGAATTCAAAATCCATGTCCTCACTTTCAAGGCTCTCCACGGCCTTGCCCCCTCCTACATCTCTGACCTGCTAACCCCCTATCAACCTGTCCGCTCCCTCCACTCAGCAGGCTCCGGCCTGCTCCATGTCTCTTGCCCGACCTGCCCTAGCATTGTCGGCCGGGCTTTCAGCCTCTCTGACGCATCCCACAATCTCTTGCCTCCTTCAAGGCACGACTCAAGAACCTCCTACCCCCTCTGCCTTCCCTCATCCCAACCCTGATTCCCCCCCCCCCCTCTCCACGCTCAGGTCCTGATCCCTGACTGTTCAGTTCCTTGGGACATCCTCCCGATGTGAAAGGCGCTTTACAAATATAACTTTGTTTTTGTATTGTTTCGATCATGTACACCCCACAGGTAGCAGTAACTATAAAAGGATATTGTCTGAAGGAGAAGTGAATTGTATGAAGACTTATTGTCTGTATGAATATGTATTGTGTGAGTGTAAGAGGAGGATATGTAGATAAAATACTTACTGTTTGAGCAGGTAGCAGGGTACACCTTGGAGGGATTTGTAACAAACATGTGGGTCAGCTTGGTCCTCTGCTCAAACCGTATTACGACTCTGACCTAATTGAAGGCTTTGGGGTGTCGTCAAAATATATGCTTGTGTCCGCCGTTAAATGATGTAGAGTTATTTTGAGAAATGCGTGTTTTAAATTTGTTAATATAAACGGGATACTGGTTTTGTCCTCCTGACTCGAGAAACCCCCAACTCTAACCACTAAAGGCATTGGGTATAAAATACCAAGTTTTGTGACACACTCGCCATTTAGGCTAATACATGAAGATTAGCCAGTTGGGTGAGGACGATCAGGTGGGTGTCAGAGAAGGCAGGAGCGGTCAACATCAGGGGTTTGAAAATAAAGACCAAAAAATGAATACAACAATAACGACAACTTTCATTTATATTGCTTCCCTCAAGCAGGGCAAAGGTTTCAGAGCGCTTGACAGTGGCGGAGCCCGGCCTGAGCCACGTGGTGGAGGGGGAGGTGAATGTAAGCACGGTTGAAGAGGAACGTACGACATGATGATAATAATAATCCTTTCATTCGATATAATGCTTTTCACGTCTTCTCGACGTCTCAAAGCATTTCACTGAATATACTGTAAACTGACTTGACTGTGTATTTTGTGGGCAAAATGCGACAGCCAATTGTGCACAGCAGCGTCCCACAAACAGTTGTAGATTGAGTGACCAAATTATTATTATTTTCAGGGCTTACTATCCCCGGAAAAGTAATCGAGTAACAACCAGGTTCCTACTTACTGCTAGTTAAACAGAGGCGTGTGGAGTAAGGAAACTTGCTCAACATTTCACCCTGCCCGGGAATAGAACCTAGATCTCTCGCTTGCGCTCTAACCACTGAGCTATAGGACTCCACTAGATGGGGAAGCACGGGGCAAGGAGGTGGCATTGAAGGAGGAAGCGACAGAGTTTTGAGGCATGATGGCTGAAATCGTGAATGGAAGCCACAGGAGACAAGCAGGAGGCAGGAACCAGTTGAACGGAGCCTCAATCCCCAAGTTTACTGAATTAGACATGGGGAAAGGTAGGCAGACGGTCATGTATATGAGAGGGAAGGCAAGAGGGAATCAGTGTGGGATGCATGGAATCTGAGCAGATCCCTCCTACAATAGAGCACAGCAGGAATATAACACAGCCAGATCGGCCAGACACGTTCACACATGCACGGAATATTTTCACAGCTCGCTCCCAATGCACACATGGCCTTAGCTCTTGTGAAGATGAGGGATTGTGGAATGAAGACTTTCAGAT